ATCAAGTTCGTTGATTGTGGCATTTAGATTTTTTGTGTCTTTATTGAGCTGCTTTCTGGATGTTCTGTCTTTAACCGAAAGTGATATGTTGACGTCTCCTCCTATTATTATGGAGCTGTCTTTCTCTCTTTTCAATGCTGTTAGAGTTTATGTATTTTGGAGCCGTGTCATGGGGTGCGTAAATATTTATTATGGTTATGTCCTCCTGGTGTATTGACCCTTTAATCATTATAATAGTGTCATTCCTTACCCTTTGTGGTGGATTTTACTTTAAAGTCTGTTTTGTCAGAGATTAATATTGCCCCTCCTGCTCTTTTTGATGGTTGTTTGCTTGATATATTTTTTTCCATCCTTTGAGTTTTAGTTTGTTCATGTCTTTAAGTCTAAGGTATGTCTCTTGTAGGCAGCATATGGATGGATCATGTTTTTTTATCCATTCTGCCACTCTCTGTCTCTCTATTGGTGCGTTTAGTGTATTTGCATTCAGCGTAATTATTGATACGTATGAGTTTAGTGCTGTCAGATTGATGTCTTTTTTTTAGTGTTGCTGACAGTTTCTTTGTTCCACTTAATTTTCTGTGCTGAGTCATTTTTCTTTATATATTTTCTTTTCATCTTTTTCATTGTTGATTTTGTATTTGCTGAGTCTGTGTTTTTCATTTTGATGTGTAGGATTGTTAGTTTCTTTAATATTTATCCCTGTCTTTCTAAGTTAAAACCGCTCTTTTATTTCTTTATATTGCCTTGAATTCCTCTTCATATGAGAGATCTATGATTACATTTTTTAGTCTCTGTTTTTTGTTTTAATATTGTCATCTTTTACATATTGATGTCTTTGTTTCCCTATTTTGAGCATTTTTGCCTTGATTTATTTTTGTGACTTCCCTATCTGGGTTGATATCTCATTGCTCTTTCCTGTGTTCTAGTGGTTCTCTGATGTTACTAATTTTCGAATTGGAGGACTTTCTTTAGTATTTCTTGTAATTTTGGTTTGGTTTTTACAAACTCCCTAAACTTCTGTTTATCTGGAAATGGCCTAATTTTGCCATCATATTTGAGAGACAGTTTTGTTGGATATATAATTCTTGGCTGGCAGTTTTTTCCTTCAAGGCTTTATATGTGTCATCCTGTTGCTGTTTTGCCTGCATGGTTTCTGCTGAGTAGTCTGAGCTTAGTCTGGTCGATTCTCTTTTGTAGGTTACTTTTCGTTTATCCCTAGCCACTCTTAAAATTTTCTGTTTATCTTTGGTTTTGGCAAGTTTGATGATAGTATGTCTTGGTGACTTTCTTTTGGGATCTGCCTTATGTGGGGTTTGATGAGCATCTTGGATAGATATCTTCTCATCTTTCTTGATATCAGGGATATTTTCTGCCAACAAATCTTCAATATTTCTCTGTATTTTCTGTTGTCCTCCCCTGTTCTGGTACTCCAGTCACTCATAGGTTATTCCTCTTGATAGAGTCCCACATAATTCTTAGGGTTTCTTCAGTTTTTTAGAATTCTTTTATCTGTTTTTTCCTCAAATAAGTTGGTTTCAAGTGCTTTATCTTCAGTCTCACTAATTCTGACTTCCATTGACTCAGTTCTGCTCCTGTGACTTTCTATTGAGTTGTCCAATTCTGAAATTTTATTGTTAATCTTCTGGATTTTTGAAGACTGTTAAATTTGTCACTATGCTCTTCTTGAATTCCTCTGTTGCTTTGAGTGTTCCTTGGCTTGGTTTGCGTTTTGCCTGATCTCCTTCCTGATTTCTTGAAGAGTTCCGTGTATTAATCTTTTGTATTCTACCCCTGGTAATTCCAAGAAGTTCTCTTACTCCAGAAAGTTTCTTTAATCTTGGTTTTGAGAGCTTGCTGAAGCCATCATGGTCTACCTCTTTATATAATTTGATATTGACAGTTGTCTCCTAGCCATCAATAAGTTATTATATTTATTTATTTTATGTTTGCTTACTGTCCTAGCTTCTTGTCTTGTTTTAATATGCCCAGATAGGCTGCTTGTATGAGCTGCTTTGATTATTGGCGCATTTGAGGTTCTAACATCCTGTCACCAGGTGGTTAGATTTGTTACTGGGTATGTGAGCCCAGGAGTCTGTTTACTTTTCTTGTATGGATTCAGCGCAGGTGTCCAGGTAGTCAGTCACCAAGTGTGTGGTGCAGGCTTTCACCTACAGTCCTAGACAGGCAAGGTTGATTGGTGTAGGCACAGGTATCTGGCTTCAGTAGGGGGTCACATGCTGAGCAACGCAGGGGTCTGGCGGCTGCCCCTGAGTGTCTGGGAGGAAAGCGTGTGCCTGTTTCCTAGAGTGCGTAGGTGGGTTGGTTTTGAAGCTGGACTGTGGGCACCCAGTGCTGTTGGCTGTAAGGACTGGAAGGCATCACTTATTCTTGAACCCCTGTTGCGGGTGGCTAGGTGGTGTGGGTGGAGCCACCAGTCCTCAGGCCCCTGATGTGGGTAGGTGAGAACCCTGCTTAATGAGCAGAGCAGTGTCAAATGTCATGAACCTGCCACTCCACCATACAGCTGATAAAATTGAAGTTAGGCTTCAGGTATATACTCTGCTGTACTGTGCTGTTAAGGGCCTATGTTTTTGAAATGAGGCCACACAGGTCTGTGCAGGGGTGAAAGGCATTCAAAGTCTGTGGACCCCTTATACCTGTGCCCAGGCAAAGGAGCTCTGCCTACCCTGAGTCCCCAGTTTAGGGGAGGTGGCAGATTATTTTTCCTGTTTTTTAATTTGTTCCCTCTCAAAGGCTGGGAGAATGGCTCACGGCACGTGTCGGGTCCTAGTTCCAGCCCAGGGGACGCAGCAGTCCCTGAAGCCGGCCCTGGACCCAGTGTTGAGCGGGGAGGACAGGTAAGAGGGAAGGAGGTTTTTCCCAAAGGGCGTGGTTTTCGATCTGTGCATTAGGTCAGATGCATGCCCTTATCTTTTGCTGATTGAGCACCGTTTTTCACCTGGTTTTGGAGGCCTGCGTAGACTCTTTCACTGGGTTTCTCCCAGTGTGGAAAATGCCTCCCGAGCGCCACCATTTAACTCAGTGAGCACGCCAGCCGATTCGCCCTGAAGGGTGCCAGCTCCCGCTAGGTCAGGTCTGGCAACTCCTCGCTGCTTCTGAACAATCTTTCCCTCCCCCTGCTGCTCAGTCCAATTAATGAACTTTCCCTTTGATGTTCAGGGCCCCTAGATTGTCATATATAATCAATTCACTTTTTTTTCCAGGTCTTTTTTGTAAGAGGGACCACCAGAAGCGTCTGACTACTCTACCATCTTGGCCCCGCCTCTCTGCTTCTTAACATTTTAAAGAAGTCTTTTGCAGCAGATTTCCCCGTTGCAAGATGTTATTTCGTTTCTTGACTGCTGCTTCCATGCCGTTGATCATGGATCCAAGTAAAATGAAATCCTTGACAACCACTATTTTCTATGCTTATTGTGATGTTGTGTATTGGTCCAGTTGTGAGGATTTTTTGTTTTCTTAATGTTGAGGTGTAATCCATACTGAAGGCTGTGGTCTTTGATCTTCATCAGTAAGTGCTTCAAGTCCTCTTAACCTTTAGTAAGCAAGGTTGTGTCATCTGCATATCCCAGGTTTTTAATGATTCTTCCTCCAGTCCTGGTGCCCTATTCTTATTCATATAGTCCAGCCTCTGGGATTATTTGCTCAGCATACAAATGGAGTAAGTATGGTGAAAAGATACAACCCTGATGCACACTTTTCCTGATTGTAAACAACGCAGTATCTCCTTGTTCTGTTCTATCGACTGCTTCTTAGTCTATGTACAGGTTCCATGTGAGCACAATTAAGCGTTTTGAAATTCCCATTCTTTGCATTGTTATCTGTAATTTATTATGATCCACACAGTTGAATGCCTTTGCATAGTCAATAAAACACAGGTAAACATCATTCTGTGCTTTCAGCCAAGACTCATCTGACAGCAGGAATGATATCCCTCATTCCATGTCCTCTTTTGAATCCGGCTTGAATTTCTGGCAGTCCTCTGTCGATGTACTGCTGCAACTCTTTTGAGTTATCTTCAGCAAAATTTAATTTGCCTTCAGTAGAACTTGGCTTCTTCCTTAAGTACCATTGGTTCTTGATGCTACCTCCTGAAATGGTTGAACATCGACCAGTTCTTTTTGGTACAGTGACTCTATATTCCTTCCATCTTCTTTTGATGCTTCCTGCGTCATTCAGTATTTTGCACATAGAATCCTTC